TTTTACTTAAGTAAAAATATTTTTACTGAATATTATTTTTTTTAAGGTGAAGTGAACAGGGCCTAAGTAGTATTTATAGAAAAATTATACTAAAAAAATGTATACTAAGTAGTATTTTAAAAAAAAATAAAAAAGTGTAATATAATGATTTTTTTTATTTATTGTAATTTATACTTCTTATTATGTAGTATTGTTGTATTTGGGAGGTGGGGGTTAAGGCGGGTCTTAGGTGGGGTGGATATCCAAATTGGGGGTAGGACGGAAATGGTTTTGAAATGGTACCCGTCGGGATGGGGATGAGAATGTTAGGCGAGGATGGGGATGGAAAAGCCAAGATCTGCCCCGCCCCACCCCGTTGACATCCCTACTTCTTGCCGCCAAGAGGGACATGAAGCTTATTTACATCCACCAGCTCTTGGATGAGTTCCTTGAGTCTGTAGCATTTGTTAGTAGTGTAACTATTGCTTCGATGATACTTGCAGTAGGAATTAGAGTTCCACTTCGTAAACCTCTCCTCTGCTTCCGGATCCTTGGCTGGCCCAATTGGTGTGATTAAACCTCGACAATGGAGAAACTCAAAAGCTACATAATATGTCATGCCCAAAGGTGTGTTTGTCCTCCTCTTAGGCCATGACTTTGTAGAGTCTAGAGCCAAAACCTCATTGAGATCGGCGTGACTAAAAGCATTGGAAGAAGAAGAAGAAGAAGAAGAAGAAGAAGAAGAAGAAGAAGAAGAAGAAGAAGAAGAAGAAGAAGAAGAAGAAGAAGAAGAAGGATTGTCGTTCTTATTTTTGTAAGTATTGGTACTGTTGCTATGATGAGATCATTTTCAATTTAAATCCAAATGTTATAAATAATATCAAAGCTAGTCAGTCCCAAATATTTTTTAGTACTCTAACTACGCTAGTTACATCTTACCTATATATATATATATATATATATATATATATATATATATATATATATATATATATATATATATATACACACACACAAAGGAAGGCTCATATAAGAACCCTCCTCTATATAAGAACCCATTATATATAAGAACCATTTTCAGACATTGGATTAATTAAGATCTTACGCTCTACATTTACGCGGATCAAAATAATGGCACTATTGTTAATTAATAAACTTTTTATTGTATAATAGAAATTTTAGAAAAAATTGTCAGCTCTTTCTCTCTCTAAAAACTAGTGCAGCATTTTCTTTCTCTAAAGTTCTCTCCCCAATTTCGCAACTATCTTTGGATTCATTCAAAGCTTTTTAAGCAAGATTCATCAAATTCTTCATTCAAATTTGCTTGGAACTCACGAATTTTGTGCGAATTCTTCATTAATTCATGTTTTCGTCAATATTTTTGCGATTTTTGGCGATTTTAGGTATTTTTCTATTTGATTCTTGTTTTTGGCGATTTTCTATTCGATTTATATTTATTTGTTCGATCATTTATTTGTTCGATTGTTCGATTTTTCTATTCTAATTTTGATATTTTTGTTCGATTTTCTTTTGCGATTTTGATGCTATTTTGCCGCCATTTATTCTCAATTTTTTCTAGCTTTTTGCGATTTGTATGGTGCGATTTTGATACGTTAATTTCTCAATTTTTTGCTGCAATTTATGTTCTATTTTTACTATTTTTGTTTGAATTTTGTGATTTATCATTTTCATTTGAATAATAATGTGTGCCTTCACCAGTTGTTTATGTAATTCACCAGTCAAAGATTTTAGCTACTTCCAAACACCTTCTCTATGTAATTCTTAGATGCATGCTACTCTATATAGTAAGTTACATTGGTAAATCTTTTGGTTCAAAATACTACAATATGTTTCTCTTCACAAAATTGAAACTCCAGTCATGTAGCATGATTATCTGGGGCTGTCCATTTATTAGCACTGAATACTGATGCTATCATACTGTTAAAAGGGAGTTTTGGTTCCTCAATCTTCGCTTACTGATTTTTGGCTGAAATTACATATTCTTAACAGAAATTTGACAATACTTTTGAATTTGAAAAATCTGTTGTGTCTGGTTATGTGAGATCCTTAACTTTCAATTAACATTATCAGTGCTTGTAATCCTTCAGTGATTATTGGACTTTGGCTTGCTTATATTTTTTGGACTGCCTAATGTGTAGCAAGGTATGTCCTATTCTCTTTATACTATTACTATACTCAAAACAAATTATTGTCTTTAATTTATGTTTCACTTCATGTTTTGTTGATGTGTACACCAAGTGTCTGATGAACCTCAATTGGTATTTCGATTTAGCTTTTATTATTGCTTGAATTTTACTCTCGTATGATGTATTTGACATTTCTTGATAAGTAGTATCAATTATAACGTCAAGGCTTCTCACATTTTGTAATCTTAAGATTCTAGGAAGTAGGTAGTACATACTTTGATTTGGTCATGGAATAAGTGAAAAAAAAACTATCATTACTACGGTACTACCTAACTTACAAGGCTTTGATATTTTTAAAGGCCATACACTACATTTTAGCTAGATCAATATAATTTAATCATATTACATATTTACAATTATCTTCAAGAGCAAGTTTATAAGCTTTTAAGGTGGGTGGTAAGCGCATTCAGACCTGTAGGGACAAATGGCTCCCTCCTCCACTAGGTACATACTCTAAAACTCAACCTAAAAGGGGATGGCAAGGTGGGTATTGGAGCTATTTTGAGAGATAGTAGTGGGGACATTCTGATGGCAATGTGTGACACTCGTGAGGGAAATTTTTCTGCCAAAATTGGTGAAGCTATAGCGCTCCGTTGTGGGCTACAAACAACTATGGAAGCAGGATTTCGAAGTTTCATTGTGGAGCTTGATTGTCTGAGTATTGAGATGCTTTGAGAAGTGGAAGAAGGGACTGTTCATCTCTTTGTGTTTCGATCACTTTTGTCCATATAAAAAGAAATGGAAACAAAGCAGCCCATCTACTTGCAAAAAATAGTCTAGTTCTTTTTGCTTTTTATGTTTGGTTGGAGAAAGCTCCTCCTAATGTCAAGTTGTTTGTAAGTGAAGATATTAAAAAAAAAAAAAAGGTTTATCAACATTTTGATCTCTTCACCTCTGGGACTTGAGATAGTACACGAAGAAACATAATGCTCTTAACATCAATACCAATAAAATGGCTCAAGAATTAGGCTAGACATATCCTTACAATTGCAACCATTCTAGAACATGGTACTGCTTAAAGGAATTTATGTCTAGTTTTATGACTTGTGTGCCTACAGTGCCCACATGATATGAATATCATGAGTATAATTTCTGATACTAGTGCTACCTTTATTGTTAATAAGTTATGTTTTTGTCAATGCTTGCCTGTTTAGCACTAGTCTTTACATGGGATAATATTTGCCTACCCAAATATGCAGTATAGGACAACTAATGACAATATGTATAGCGCAATTAACCTTCTAACTCAATGGGTAGAGCATTATGCAAATGCACAAAAGATGTGGGTTCGAATCCCACGTAGGTTCATTTGTATAATGTGAAAATGAAAGTTTTGTATAAGAGTTTAATTGTAACATAGTTTCCATTTAGAGATAACCTATGTAGGAATCGAACCTACATCCCTATGCATTTGCATAGTGCTCTACCATTTGAGCTAATAGGTTTTAGCAAACTAACTATTAAAAAAATGGTACAATAACTTACAATAACTCTATGTTCTAATGTTTTATCCCTATGTTCTAAATTAGTCTAAGTTGTCTAACTATGCTGTAGATTTTTTTTTCTAGATATGTTCTAATGTTCTAACTCTTTTTTTTCTACTCTATATGGTTTTCTACCAATGTTCTAACTCTTTTTCCTACTCTGTTCTAACTCTTTTTCCTACTCTGTATAGTTTTAAACCTACGTGATAATATTTTATCTATATTCTAATATTTTTTCCCTATATTCTATTTTTTTTCCTATGTTCTAAAGTTTTTGTCTTATGTTCTAAACCTATATGTTCTAAATTTATTCCCTATGTTCTAAGGGTTTCATGTTGATTTTAATCTTTTACTTTTACTACATGGAATGGAATTGAATATAAATGTTTCCATTGGAGGTTTAGAATGCCAATAAGGGCAGAGACTTGAAATTAAATAGTGTAATCCAACCTGAAATTAAACCATAATAAAATCTTATGTTCTAAATTATTTTCCTATGTTCTAAATATATATTATTATTTTTTTGTCTATATTATGTTCTAAATTCTTCTAGCTATGTTCTAAATTTTTTCTACATATGTTCTAAAATTTTCTCTCTATGTTCTAATTTTGTTTTCTATGTTTTAAATATTTTTGGCCTATGTTCTAAACTATTCTGCCTATGTTCTAATATTTTTTTCCCTATGTTCTAAATTTATTCTGCATATCTTCTAATATTTTTTTTCCTATGTTCTGTTCTAGATTAGTTTTCCTATGTTCTAAATATTTTTGCCTATGTTTTAAATTCCTATGTTCTAAATTTTTAATATGTTCTAAATTTTTTATTATGTTCTAAATTTTTTTTATATGTTCTAAATTCCTATGTTCTAAATTTTTTTATATGCTCTAAATTTTTTTATATGTTCTAAATTCTTATGTTCCAATTTTTTTAATATGTTCTAAATTTTTCTATATGTTCTAAACACTATGTTCTAAAATTTATTCCTATGTTCAAGTTTTTTTTTTTCTGCTTACGTTCTAATTTTTTATTCCAATGTTCTAAATTTTCTTCTTCTACCTATGTTCTAATTTTTTATTCCTATGTTCTAAATTTTTTTTTTTCATTTGCCTATGTTCTAAGAAAAGCCCTCACATTGGTTCCCTTATGGAATTCCTACATGTGCTTCTCAAGGACTATAAGAGTGAAATTGAAGGACTATAAAAGTGAAATTGAAGACCTGCTACAAAAAGAGCTTAATTATGTCATGTAAAAATATGAAATTATCAAGGGTAAAATAGCGGCTACAGAGGCCATTGCAACTATGCATTGATCACAAAGGCTATCATATACCTGGAGTGCCAGATGCAACAAATCAGAAGAATAAGTTGTCAAAGAAACTAGATCGTGATTCAAAGGCGACTTAGCAATGGCAAATGTTGCAGCTACAACTGTTGCCATATCTGTAGTACAGGAAGTAAACAAAGGAGCTGCAACACCACCATTGAGTTTGCTAAATATGCTTAGATTGAGAACTTCATAAAGAGTTGGGCTTTCTAGGCCTCTAAGGCACAAAAATATGCAGCTGTAATAGAATCGCTCAGGAGGGGTAAACTTTTGATTTCGATGAGAAAATTAAGTCTGATCATGTTGTTTCTTGTATATATGTGATCATTTAGTCAACATTTTGTTGTAAATTAAAAAAAAAAGTACATATCTTATTCTCAATTGCAAGAACAGGCTATATGGGGTTGGGTGTTGTTGTTCGAAGTCATGGGGGGAAGTTGCTGCTTGCTATGGTAAAAAAGGGTGAAGGGTTCGTGGCCTGCTGCTACTGCAGAGGCTGCTACTGGACGCTTGCAGCTAGTGCAAAGATTTGGTTACAGCAATGTATGGATGTCAGATACGCTGGAGGTTGTTCAAGCCATCAACAAGCATGTTTGTGCAAAATTACCTGTGTTATTGATATATGAGGGTATTAAAATGCCCTCTAATTATGTTAATGTTAAATCTTTTACTCATATTAGGAGAGTGGGCAATATCGTTGCTCATTTTGTTTCGAGCTGGGACACAAACAAGAGTTTAGAGTTAGTTTGTATGAACATATTCCCCCAAAGTATTCAAACTTGGTGGACTTTGAGTTGCAATAATATTTCCTTCTTAATTTTTCCTAAAAATACACATTAGCCTACTAGCTCATCAGGTAGAGCATTGTGCCAATGCACAAAAGATGTGGGTTCAAATCCCACGTAGTTTCATTTGTATAATGTGGAGACGAGAGTTTGTATAAGAGTATAGTTGTGACAATTTTTTTTATAGTCGTTAGTCATTACAAGCCTATTTTTTGTTCTTATAACTTAATGTTAATTTGATTTATTTTCATGTTTTACTTTTAAGTTATTATGGTTTACTTTTAACCTATGTAGGAATCGAACCTACATCCTCTGTGCATTTGCATAGTGGTCTACCAATTAAGCTAATAGGTTTTAGCATATGTTCATTTTTTTTTCATTGTGCTAAAATTTACCGTAAATGTTCTAAAGTTTTTTGCTAATACTTTAATTTTTTCTGCCTATGCTTTTATATTTGTTCTAAATTATTTTCTTATCATCTAAATTTTTTCACCCTATGTTCTAAAATTTTCACCCTATGTTCTAATTTTTTTTTTCCAATGATCTAAATTTTTTCACCCATTACTCTAAATTTTTTTTGTCTATGCCTGAATTTTCCCTATGCTCTAAATTTTTCACCGTATGTTATAAATTTTTCTGTCTGTGTTCTAGATTTTTTCCTATATTCTTAAAATTTCACCATATGCTCTAAATTTCTTTCCTATGTTCTAAACTTATTTCCTACGTTCTAAATTTTTTCGCCCTATGTTTTAAACTTTTTTCATATGTTCTAAATTTTTTCACTCTATGTTCTAAATTTTTTTCCTATGTTCTAAATATTTTCACCCTATGATCTAAACTTTTTGACTATGTTCTAAATTTTTTTTTCATGTTCTAAATTTTTTTTTCATGTTCTAAATTTTTTGTTTTATGTTCTAAATTTTTTCCTATGTCCTAAAATTTTCCATCTATGTTCTAAATCATCTGCCTATGCTCTATATATATGTTCTAAATTATTTTCATATGTTCTAAATATTTTCACCCTATGTTCTAACTTATTTTTTTCCCTATGTTCTAAAACCAAGGCTCCTCTTTTAGCCTACAACAATTTTGTAGAAGCCATATTTGTTCTAAATGACTGTCAAACTTATGTAACAAATAACAAATCTCAAAATTCAAGAGTTGAGAGAAGACATTTATCAATACTTTGTTGTAAAGTAGAAATTTTTTTAAAAAAATGCAATATATATCTTGTTCTCAAGGCAAGTTAGTTCTAAAAAACAATAAGCTTAATAGGGCAACCAACTTGATAAATTAACAATACCAAAGATCACATAAATCTATCTTATACTTTGCATGTGCGTGATAGAAATTATCACCCAAAAAACAAGTCAACCAAAAAGATTTTGATTCTTTCTTTCAAAGGTTATGATAGGAAACAAATGTTAAGCTAAAGGTACAAGGAAGTCTTTGCAATCGTGGAGCAAAGGCAACCTAACTCCACTACGTACTATAGCTTTTCAAACTGTAAACAACAACATTTGGCACATATTCCTACAACATACAAAACCAACATTTCAAAAGAATTTTCATATCTTTTACCAAATGCAAGTAACAACTTCAGTTAACTAAGTCACATTCACTCACAACATCAACAAACACTCTATAATCTGGATATGCCGGTGTGGAGCCTCGTGACATACTCTTTAGTTCCAAGCCAAAACTAAATATTGATTCTAGACATCATCATTGTATTCGAACATATACTTTAGAACATAATTCTACTAATTTTAGAACATAATAGTAAATCTTTAGAACATAATTCTATTTTGAAAAAGCATAAATTTTCAGATTTAAACATGTTAATCATACTTAAGGTTATAATTTTACAACACATTAGACGTAAATTCCAAATTTCTAGAGCATAGATATAGATTATTAGAACACAAACATAGACACTAATGTTAGAAAATATCTTATAATTGCTGCAAATTTGATTAGGTTTTGAAATTAGCAAAAATCAAACAAAAAGCCAAATAAATACATAAAGTTCTTCAAAATTGTCAAATTATCAATTACCTTGCATTTCAGCAATAATTTCTGTACGATTTGATGCTCTTCTCCTCCTTCCACTCGAATTTTTCTTCAATTTGTTCTTGCATCAAATTAGGGCTCGTATTTACAAGATTGGCAAATAAATTGCTCAATTTAACTTGTTTAATGAAAATTAATGTTATGAACACTAATTTTTTTGTTGAATTTGAGTGAAAATTAGAATAAAAAAACACTGAAATTTCCTTTAAATGTAGCAATTTGGGTGATTTTTGCCTATTTGGAGTGAATTGGGGGATTTTAGGAGAGAGAGCGTAGAAAGTAGTGTGGGTTATGTTTGAGGAGAGAGAAAGTTTGGGATATATGTATAGATGGTTACTTTTCGTATTTACTATAATGCCATTACTTGCGCTCCTTTAATCTGGATCATCTATATAGACTAGGGTTCTTATATAGGGAGGGGTTCTTACCGGATCCCTCCCCTAGATATATATATATATATATATATATATATATATATATATATATATATATATATATATATATATATATATATATATATATATATATATATATATATATATATATATATTTAAGTCAATTAAATTACCTAAATCTATTTGTCGGTGAAAGTGTAACTCTTAAAAAAAATATACAGAGAGTATTTGAAAAATTAATGGCCAAACCTGTTACATTTAATCTAAAAAAAATATAGTAAGAATAGGTTAGATGCGTATCCTACTATCCTGTGCTGGTAGAGCTGTCAGTTTCTGACCCGAACCGTTACACCCGACTATTTCGAACTAATCCAAAAAGGAAGTGAACCGTTTAAAACCCGTTTTTTGGAAACCGAAAACCGACCCGACCCAATTATTTCTAACCCGAAACTGAACTAAACCGAATTTGTGCGAACCGTTACTAACCCGACCTGTTATCAAGCCAAACCGTTACAAGCCGAAATTGAAAACAACATGAATCGATTATGTCTGAACTCGATAGTAACCCGATCCATTTTAAACCGAAAACCGTTTAAGCCCGGCAAAAATCCAATAAACCTGAACCGGTCCAACCCGTAACCCGTTGTGACCGAACCATATAACCCGTAACCCGTTATGACCGAACCGTTTCTAACCCGTAACCCGTTGAGACTGAATTGTTTACGACCCGTAACCCGCTGAGATCGAACCGTTTACGACTAGTAACCCGTTATGAATGAGTCGTTTATAACCCGTAACCCAATATGTTTATGCTCTGATCCGTTTCAACCCACTACTCGATAAACCCAACTTATTTATGACTTAACTTGACTCGATAATAATCCGACTCGATTTTAACCCAATATGATTTGGACTGAAACCCGCTTCAAATTGGGTAAACCCGTTTTCAAATCGACCAAGTTCAATCCAAATCGATTATGACTTGAACTGATAATGGTCGGACCTCCGATTTCACTCGATCTTTTTTGAACCGAAACTCATCTTCAAACCGACCCGGTTTAACCCAAACTGATTATGACCCGAACTGATTACAACCTGACTTGATAGGAACTAAATTGTTTTGAACCGAAACCCACTTTAAACTCGTTAAACCTGTTTTCAAACCGACTCAGTTCAACCCAAACTGATTATGACTCGAGCCAACTACAACCCGACCTGATGACCTGTATAGAAACCGCAATTAAAAAAAAAAACAAACCAAACTGACCCGATGATTTTCACAACCTACCCAAACCGACCCGCTAATTATTTTAACCCGTTATAAACCGACCCGTTATAACCCAAAACTGATAAATCCAACCCAAACTTAAACTGTTTACCCGAATTGACATCCCTGTATCCCGGTAATGCTAATAATTTCACGGGTTACTTCATTGAGTAATATCGACTTTTCAATATTTCACAAAATAGCAAAAATAATTTCCACGGGTTACAACCTTTTGTCCTTGAGTGACTCTTTAATGGTGACTATTTTTGGAGTTTTTTGGGAGAAAGGTGAGTCGGAGATTCTCACACTAGTGCTCATTAATACAAGTAACAAATGAAGTAAGCTCAAATATTTATGGTGTTGCCTCTTCTGATCGGCTTCTGCTCAATCAGTACGCTTTGACATCGACAAAAATCAAACAACAAAAATTTGGTCAGTATTCTCTTTTTGAACTTCTTATTCATTAATTTATTTTATAATTTTATTTGTGTTGTGAATTTTCATCCATTTTTTACAGTTTCAATAAATGCTCAATTTAAAATTGTAGTTGTAATTTTGAAGTGAAAAATTGAGAAATTATTAGTTTAATTCTGGTTATCTCCTTGATCGATTTCTGATTAGAAGTATATTTTAATGTGAATTTTGTGGATGTTTGCAATTATGAAGGATTATTTAAGAAGTTATACTCCCTCTTGCGTCGTCTCAATTCCCCCCAAAAAAAATTTCCCTTTAAAAAAAAGACCCAAGTCTTATTTCGGTTGGGACTACACACAAATAACATTATTCTTCTGTTCGCTCTCACCCTCAAATGGGCATAGAAGTTGGATGGGTTACTTTATTCACCCTCCCCGTAGAATAATCGAATAATTAACACAGTCAAACGTTGCATGCTTGGCCAATGCATTATTTTGACATTATATAAAAATAATTAATTAGTTTGGTATTAGTTTAGCAATGTATAAAAAAATTATGCATAAATCAGTGTAATTAATTAATGTATTCCATTAATACTTTCCTCTTTTACTTTTTTAGCCATAAGGGCTATATATAGTATTTTCATTAATTATAAGCAAAATTTATTAAAAATTATATTTCCCCGTTCCTAAAGTTCGACTCACTTTGGATTTGCACGGTCTCCAATGAACATCTTTGACCATGAATATATTCGGCTATGTATAAGTGAAAATTATAAAAAGTTGATATTTGGAAAATTTATAATAAGTGGAATCTAATAAAATCTCATATGCTAATTTATTTATATTGTATAAGTCATAGAATGTGGTCAGAGTTATTTTATTTTGACCCCATGAATAGTAAGTGAGTCGAACTTTCAGAAATAGAGGTAGTATTATAAAACTTTATATTATCATCTATTTAATAACATAATTCATGCTAATATTTATTTTCAATACGTTACTTAAACACTTTGGTCAATGTTAGTATGTGAATACTCCATCTATTTCGTAATAATCACAATATTAGAACTTGCACAAAGTTGTAGGAATTTTACAGGGTAGGTATGATAGGTTGAATTTTATAATATAAAGTATAGTTAGTGGAAATATATTTAATTGTTAGTAGGAGAGATAAATAATAAAAAAAAATAGTATAAGTGGATTTTGTAGGAGAGAAATAATAATGTATTTATGCAAGTGACGTTAGTGGGAGAGAAAAATAATAAATTAGTAGTTTCTTACCAAAATAGGAAGTGTTACAATTATTATGAAACATATGTAAAAGGAAAGCGTTGTGATTGTTATGAAATGGAGGGAGAAGTTAAAAAAAGTCCTAACATGTTAATTTATCTTGGACGGAAAGAGTTTTGAACTATAAGTGAAAGTGGATGATATTTTCTTTTTTAGTAATAGAGACTAGAGAAACCAGTAATGTAGTATTGTTATGTATTTGTTGTTACAATGTGAAATAGTACTATAAATGATTATAATGATACGAAAAAAATTATATGTACAGTCAACATTGCACACATGCCAATACACTAGTTTGATTTTATTTTTATATAATAGTATTATAAAGTTTTATAATGGTGTGAAAAAAAAAATGATAGTTACAGAGGTATACTTTTGAAACTAATATATTTACTACTCCCATTACTAAAAAATTATATGCACATTTAACATTGCACACATGTCAATGCACTAGTTTGACTTTTTAGTTTTATATAATTAAATATTAATGAAAATTATTTTTAAAATCATATTATGAAACTTCATAGTAATACCTATTTAACAAAATATGTTGTTATTATGTTACTAAAAAATTATGGTCAAAGCTAATATATGAATAGTGAAAAAAGTCTAACGCGGTAACGCCCCAAAAATTTTGGGACGGAGGGAGTATTATGTTGTGAAAATTTGCCATTGCTAGTGTAATAATATCTAAATGGTTGTAATGATACTAAAATGACTATAGTGGTATAGTAAAATTAAAAAATTAAAGTGACAAAATGTGGTCTCATCATCTTTATTGTTGTACAAAGTTACCATTATATCCTTATATGTACCAACAAATACATAGAGACTAATGCATGTGGGAAAAGAGCGAAAAAGTGGGTGGACTAGAGACTAGGGTGCATCTTTTATCATAAACCCAAAAACAAATATATTGAAACAATTAGTGGTCCCTTATAAGTGTATTAGGTATTATAGACTAGAGAAAGTAACTAATCCTTGAAAATCAAAACTAGTTACAAAAAAAACAAGGAAAATGTGTAAAAAATAAGCCAAATTTTGTGCGATTAGCTCAAAATAAGCTAACCTTTCTATTAACTACAAATAAATTGATCTTTATATAAAATCTTCCCAAAATGTGTAATGACATGGTGGTTTTAGGGGTAACCTGTTAAGTTGTTTAAAAGTCACATTAGGATATGATGATAATTTAATAAACTATTATAAATAAAGGATGTGACAATATTAGCATATAGAAATAATAACTAATGTAGTATTGGAGACTAAGTTTAGAAAATTAATTTAAAATGTAGTATTAGGGACCAAAAGAGAAGAGAGGTATGATTAAACTAAGTAATAAGTTTTAATTTTTGGGAGTTATGTCACTTTAAAAAGAAAGCCTTTTTAAAAAAGTGTGTCTATTGAAAAACAAAATTAGAATACTTGTTTATTTAATTAGATTAGAGTTGATTAGACAAACTAACTTTTTATTAGTATTTATTTAGTGATAATTATCTTTAATTATTTAATAATTTAATTATGAAAATTACGTATTTGAAAAGTACACATTATAGTGGATATAATAATATATCATTGATAATCGTTATTTTTCAGAAGAATTAATGCACAAATAAGGTCAAAGTTTTGTCAAATAACATACCTTGCATTAGAAATCATAATATTAGGATTATACATAAGGTAAATAATTGCATTGATACTTAGTGGTTGAATGTGTATGATGAAAAAAAAATAAAATTGTACAAGGATGGATAATCATTACCATTGACATTATCATAGAGTTATCCTCACTAAATTACTCATGACATTAACACTATCTTTTATTGCTTACCAAATAAACCGTTTTTATATGCTTATATTAATATATTTCCTCAAGAATGGAATTTTACTCTTTTCTTTTGTTACTACCTTTTTTAATTGTTTGACTTTTGCACTATTCACATGCAAATTTTTACTTTTTTTTTTAATTTTTTTTTTTATCTAGAAAATGAAAAACATATGCTATCATTCAATATGTGTAGAACAATAAAAAAATATATTTTCATAATATCAATTTTTAGTTTTTTTTTTTTCACTAATTAACAATTAAAAATATTAGTGGTCAAAGCCATGCCTTAATCCCAAATGTGCCGATCGAAGTGACATTTGAAAAATATGGAGGGAGTATATGTAATTGAAAATTTTGATACAACTATCAATGCCTTAATCCCAAAGATGGGGTCGACTACATGAACAAAAGTTGTATCTTTTAAACTTGCCAACCCCATGATCATATGTTTACTTTCCCATCTCTAATGTTATATGTTCTTGCAAATCTAACTTCTTCATGCCCCTCTTAACTCTTTCCATCCAAGTCATTTTTTTCTTCCTTAACAATTTCTTTCTTTTCACTTTCCTTACTAGTGGGTCTTCAAATATGTGCGTGACATGCCAAAACTAACGCAATGCAATCGGTGCTCCCGTATTAGTTTGACAGGAAGTTCTTTTTCAATACTTAGATCGGTTTGGTCAGATGGAAAACATGTCCAAAGGGGCAAAGGGAACTTAAATTCATGAAAAAAAATTTCTATGTTGAAACACAATTGATGATTAGTTTTTCTTTGTCTGATTTCTTAGGAGATAAGTTAGAGAGAAAAGTTAATGGAGGTTGATGAGAGAGGATGGTTGAGGGAAGAGAGAGAGAGAGAGGAACATGAGAATATAGGGTAAAACTGTGGAGAAGGTTGTTCATATATCTATAAGAGAAGTTTTTTTTCACCCTTTACAAACGAAACAAAGGAAAATGGAAAAATCACCTCTCCTAAAAGTTGTTTTCCTCCTAGGCCCCAGCTCTCTTGAGTCATTTTCGTTTGTGGAATTCCTTTTTGTTGTCAGTATTTCTTTCAGAAAAGTGTGTGAAGTGTTATTGTTGAAACATACCAGCAAGCTTTTCTCCTCAAGGATATTAAGAGTTTCATGACCTTTTTATTTTAATTACTTTCTGTAACATAGTTCTTTAATACGTAGTATATATAATCTTTTTGTCTATATTTTTTCCATCATTGCGAACAAAAACAAATTTAGACTTTTAAGTTTCAAGAAGAACTGTCAATTTATTGATTTAGGTTTTGCATTTCTTTATTGTATGAAAATGGGGTTTAAGTGCTGCCCATTTTTACATTTCCATTTCTTATGTCCTAATCTGGTAGCTTTATGATAGAAATATGAGAAAAAGAATGTTGGAAAGCTTAATATTATTGATGACAGTATACAAGAGTAGTTATTGTATATGAATGGAGTATTGAAGATTAACAAACTATGACTTAGGTACTTAATATGACAAGGGACATTAGCTAAGAGTTAGGAAATACTTTAACTATCAACCTAAAGATAAAAATTAATTCAATGGATTATACAAACTGTAAGGCCATGCTTGGTTTAGGGTAATTAATTAAGGGAGTAATAAAAGTCTAAATAGGAAAAACTTAAGTGTTCCGAGGTGTTGTGGGAAAATAAGATGTTTACTAATGAAATAAGGTAGTTGTGACATGAGGAAAAGAGAGAGATGGCAGAATCATTACCCTCATAATGAGAGTAATAGTTACCAACCCTCCACCTAATGTAACTATTAACCCCAAAATGAGGGTAGTAGTTCCCCTTTCTTTACCTAACACCACACCACCACTACTTAAAACTCCTTACAATCACACATTCATTATGTCCTCCTCCCCTATATTTACTTTCATTTTGTTTAGTTTTACTTTTATTACCCTAGTAATACATTACTCTCAATCTAAGCATGCCCTAAATAGTAAACTAATAATGATAATGGTGATTTAGTCTTCATTATCCTTTACACTTTATTGGTGTGGAAAATATACGGATCATGAATAATGTTGCTTGAAGTTTAATGTCCAATTTATTGGAGCCTTATTGGCAATTTTTGTCATCCAATTTAATGAGTTTTCTCGTTGCCTTTCAAACAAAAATTGGCTTTTCTGGTATGATGTTTCATATTGTTGTACTTAATAGTTCTTTGTGACGCACCTTAAGGAGTTTTGATAATGACATATGTTTATTAGTTTGTTTGCAGCTCAAAAGAAAAGATAAAAAGATAGGGATGGTGGCACTTCTGTTTGATAAGAAAGCACCTTTCTTTGCATTTTCTTGCTTGAACACCCTGTTTCTGGTGATTAATCTTTGTATCTTTAATGTACTGACATGTGCAACTTCAACACCCTTGAGGTTTAATAGAAAGGGGGCTTTTAAGATTTTGCAAGTCGCAGAAATGCATTATGCTGATGGTAAGATCACGCCATGCTTGGATGTGTTGCCTAATCAAGTTAAAGGATGCTCTGATCTCAACACTACTGCTTTTATCCAGCGAATGATAAAAGCTGAGAAGCTTGATCTCATTGTCTTCACTGGTACCTCATCTTGCTTATACATTTTCTCTTTAAATTTTTTTTTTTACTGTGTTACTAAAGAAAAGAGTGTTTCAGAAAATTCTTTCTGTCATAAAATCTATGCTTTAGATATCTATTATTGTGCATTTGTCACTCTTATGGGATCTTTGACATATAAATCACTAGAACAAATAATTTGGGCATCAGCTGCACATTATTGTTGATGATTTGGGCACCAGCTGCACATTATTGTTATACTTGAGTAAAACTCAATCGTTTCGACATTTCCGTAATGAACAAGTTTGAGTATTTTTCATGTTAAGCAATGTATATGCAATAAGAGTTTATATTAAAGGAGGATTGTTGCAACATTTATGCAGTAAATGTTCTAATAAGTATATCACATGATTTATGTCATTTGAAGTTGTGTAGTTATAATGGCATACTCTTAAGGTCAGAGGAATAGTAAACATAAAGTTAAGAATAAGTGTTAAAAGGATTGTTGCATGCCCATCCTTGTTTGTTTAGAATAATCTGCCCAAAAGTACCTGTTTCGGTTACAAAACAATGGACCTTCGGCAGGTCCTTCGTAAGGGTGGAGATCAGGCCCAATTCGAGAGATGTCCAAATTGAGGGTTTCTAGCACAGCTGAACAAATGTAAACTGGCCTCGGGAGTTGTGCCGAGGAAGGCCCCTCCGATGCCGAAGTCAGTGTGGTGTATAAAAGTAGAGAGAATAGCTATGCAAGAGGTTTGGTTGCTTGAGGCTTTATGTGAATATCCGTAAATATTGCCAAATGATGGCTTTTATACCTTTGTCCAAAGGAATGAAGTGGGCTTGAGGAGTCAAATGGGCTTGAGGAATGATGGCTTCGTTGATTGACCTCACATATGGGCCTATGGGCCAGAGGGCTGAGCCTTGCAATCGGGCTTTGATTATTTTCATTTATGGATTGGGCCCAAATAGAAGTTATTTGGACCCCAAACAACTTGCTCCCCAAACCCGATTCATGAGGATAACGGGTCGGGTTTTCTGATTTTTGAGAAATTTGGAGGGAAGTAAATGAAGATAATTTGTATTTTGTTTGAGGAATTTGAGGAGCCTAATTATCGTTAATGACAGTTAATTAAGAGTAATGGGGAACTGGAGAGAGTTTAGTGGGTAATGAATTTGGCGGTTTGCAATTAAGGCAAGGGAATTTGAGTAGCCACGAATTGAAGTGTGTTTAGTGGGACTGTTAAAGATTCTTTAATTTCTAGAAATTGAATTCCAGAACACACTTAAGAGATTTCGAACCACTGGTTCTTCATTTAGCAACTCAAACTTCGCATTCCCCTTCAACACGCGCAATACCCTAGCTTTTCTTTCACTGATTCCGAGCAATCCGAAGCTTCAACTCAAAATCCGTTCTCCCGAACTTGTAGCTCGGCGAATTCCGAGTTTGTAGAAGGAAATTTTCCGAAAAATCTTTTCGGTTTTCTTTGATTTTCGGAATAGCCTCCTTTTTCCCTTCTCTTTCGCATTTTTTTCTGTTTTCTCCTTTAAACCATGGCTAGAAGCCGAGGCAAAAGGTCGGTTCAGCGAGAACCTGAATCTGAGGGCGAGGAGGAAGTGCCTCAGCTAGAGCTGAAGCGAAATCGCCCTTTGGCGATGATGCCATTTCTAAGTGGGCGTAACCCAAATGCTAATTCTGGCCTGCTGCGGCTTCAAGTGGTGAAGCGATGAGGGTTATGCCCCTGTCCAGTGTACCTCCCTCGGGCTCTGTCGAGCCAAGTACATCTGGTCGAAGAGAGTCTTCGGCATTAAGACCTTTGACTCCCGAAGAACGGGAATGGACTGATGTTCGAGAGAATGAGGGTGTGATGAACGATGCACCTTATTCTTGGTGGATAGAAAATGACGGCCGATATCGCTTTGTCGGGCAGTTGGAGGTTTTTTACGGCATTATGGAGGACGGCTATTGGTGCCAAATGCCGACTGTTAATGACAGAATCCATCGGCCACCTCCTGGATACATTGGAGTTTACACAAGGCAGCTGCAGTATGGGCTCCGATTTCCTGCCCACCCCTTCGTCGTGCAAGTGCTGAATGGGTACAATATATCCCTGGCACAGTTGACGCCTATCAGCATCCGAGGGTGATGACGTATATGTGGGTTTGCCTGTTCTATGGTTTTGAGCCGAGCGTGCACTGTTTTAGATGTATTCATAAGCTCACGTAGAACACTCAATCCAACAAATGGCACGGGCCAGGTTGGTGGCAGATTGAGGATGAGAGGGGGTATCCGAACGATACGTCGGATAAGAATTGGAGAGGGCAATGGATCTGGGTGAGGGCCCCATGATGAAGATCACCCCAATTATTTTGGGAGCCCTCGCTATTTGAGGAAGCCAGATCCCAAGATGTCGAGCATCGAGCTCGATGATTTTACTGAGGCACTCAGCAACAGATGAAGATGTTTGGTCGAATGGCTATTGCTGGAACTACTGGCCGAATGGCCAACGTGCCGAGCATTTGGCTACCTTGCTGCCACTATATCTTCCAAGAGAAGATGTTGGCTGTCGTCGGCCTCAGCCAAAGATACCAAGGTGGCAAGTGACTTGGCTGAGGCCGAGACTTTCTTTTGTCTTTTTCTTGATTTTTGTTGTCTTCGGCCGTTTATTGCCGAACTAATTTTGTCTCTTTGTTTTTTCAGAAATTTGCGAAGAGAACTCGGGCATCGACTACGAGACACTTGGGATCAGCCAAGAGAGGGAGCCAATTACAAATACGCCCCCCATCACTAATACGAAGGATCGCTCTTTGGCTCTGCAGCCGAGGAAACTTGAGGTTGTGAGCGCCTTCGAATACTTGGCGCAAAAACCTTGGTATAAGAAGGTTGATCCCTTCTTCTTGCATTCGGCTCAAGAACGGGCTGCTGTTGCTGCTCTTCCTCGCGGCGGTATTGAACCTCCAGCTTCGACTTCCGAGTTGATGGGAGAGGGAGAAGAAGACTCAGACTCTCTCAGGACCTGCTCAGGCCTTTGGTAAGTCCTCGACTCTTTTGTATTTCATTGCTTAGATTTGCCTCTTTGATGCTTTGGTTTGCTTGAAATTTTCTAAGTATAAAACTTCGGCACTTAGACTTCTTCAGCTTGTGAAAAGTTCTTCTAAGTGAATAGCTTCAACTTAAGTATGCACATTATACGTAGCTTTCTTAACTTGTAAGAATTTTGCGAAGTATAGGTCTTCGGATGCATGTTGTATTCTACTTGCTCAACATTTTAGGACCTGAACAATTGTAGAACTTTAACAATCTTTTGCTGTGACTTGCTGTGACTTGCCTGATTTGTGCGAATTTGCTAAGTATAAGGCTTCGGCTGAGTTGTCTGTGTGTGGTCTCTCTTTTTTTTTTTTTTTTACACTTTGCTTACACACGTACTTGCCCCCTTCTCTCTCTTCTACTGTAGTTGGACGAGGAGGCAGAGAAAGGAGACTTAGTTGAAGCCTTTCCTATTCCTGAATCTGCTCCCGAAGAAACAATGGCAGGAGGGCTCTTGTTCGTCCAGGGCAATTTAAGGCTCCTCAACTGCCCGCAAAGAGGCTTCGGCTTGAGGAGGTCCAGGAAGAAGAAACAAGGGAGGTCACCTCTCCATCTCGGGAAGTTGTTACCGAGGTGATTGAGCTGAAAACCCCTCCCCCATCTCCTCAACATGACTCTGGGCCGTTCACGGAGAGTATTTGACAAGAGGTGGATGCACTGAATGTCCACGTTGAGGACGCTGTGATTGCTATTTGGCCAATTTATCGGCCAAGGCCAGGGCTTGGATGGTGGGCGCTGCTTCTGGGGCTGCCGAGCCTCTTGCTAAGGTGCCGAACCCTCTTCTGGAGAACCAGAAGCTGTTGATGCAGGTAACTTCTCAACACTTAACTTTTTCTATGCGTTTCTTGCTTATTCACATATGTTGTTTTTTGAGAAAATTTTTCTAAGTGTTAGTCTCGGCTAACCTTCGACCTTGCTGATTATTCTGCAGGTTGTGTACAACCATTTCCTGTCTGTGGAAATGCATGATGAGCTGCTAACCAGGGTCGAGAAGGCTGAAGAGGCTGAGAACCGGGCTCATCTTGCTGAGCTGAAGCAAAAGCTGAGGAGGAGGCTTCTGCTCCCAAAGCTGACATGCAAAATATGAGTGCCAACTTCCTCTCCTTCTGCCAAAGCCTGGAACAGACCGTCTTTCCATGGGTTGACGAAGGTGATGAAAGAATACGGGGCCGAGAGCATTGCTGAGTTCAAGGCCCGTATTGAGGAGAGGGTGAGAAAGGAGACTGAGTCTCGGCGACTTCTGGTTGCAGACCATGAAAGTCAGATTGCTCGCATTCGCACAGAAGCTAAGGATAAGCAATCTGAGCTGGAAACTGAGGTCTAGAAGCTGAAGGATGCGCTGAAAGCTGAGAAGGAAGAGTCCTCCAAGGCCAAGTCAGATCTTGAAGCTGCTCAGAATTTGTTAAAGTGGGACCAGGCCGAAGACTGGTCCATGGATCCAAAAGATGCTCATATGACTGAGGCCAGTCCAGCAGAAGTAACATTCCTGGCTCGTCAAAGCCGAGGCCGAGAGTCAAGAAGAAGAGACTGCTCAAGAGTTGAATGCTGCTCAACCTGCTTCCTCTTCGGCTGATGCCGAGGCTCTAGCTGCTCCGAACGACGTTCCTTGCTGAGGCATAGGAACTCCGGCAGTCGTCAACAGAATCTTGCGGATCTACTTGTGCTTAATTGATGAATACCGCTTCTGTTTTGCCTCTGTTTTTGCTTTCAGCCTGCCTTTGTACAAACTTTTAACTGTTTTTGTGTACTTTCGGCAGCTGTGTTTTCCGCTTTGTGGGTGGCTGCCGACTTAGGATTTTTTCTGAATTTTTTGACATTTGCTCAGCATTATCTACCAAACATATCTCAAGTTTGATGCTTGAGTTTTCGATATCTATTGTTGAATGATGAAGTAGAATTTCAACTTTTTCTTCTCACTTTGCCTGTTTGAGTAGCTTTA